TATAACACCCAGTGCTCCATGCAGAACGTGCCCTCTTTAATACCCATCACCAGGCTAACCCATCCTCCCACCTCTCTCCCCTCTAGAACCCTCATAAAACCCATTAAGTTCTAAAGCAAGAGAAAAACATAGAATTAAAAAAAGACAAGTATACCCTGAATGTTGTGGGCTATATATCTTACTACTTCAACACCTGGTTAGATATCCATGACACTATGATGAATTACAGAAGCAGACAACCCTGAAAATACAATGATGAAGAAACACTGACCTTTAAGGATTTGGTAACAACAGAAAGGCATTTTTTCCCAAAGTAGGAAATCATGACACACCATAAAATCATTAGTCCTACAAAAAGTTCTGCCTAAAAAGGGCTCTTTTGTCAAATAAATTTAGAAATACTGCACATATATCCCCCCACTAATGTATTCACAATATATTAACATATTAAAGTCTCTAAGAACAAAGTCTCCGAGACCTTTAAAGAATAAATCTGCTTTAATTAACAAATCCACAAAATCCTTGCCTCATATAACATGTTTTCATATTAAGAGAAATACACACTTGAGAAAATATTTCACTAAATAGGTTATTTGCTCAAAAATTCATTCAACAAATACCTACTGAACACTTATAATGGGCCAGCCCCTATTCTAGGTGCTTAAGATTTCAGCAGTAAAAACAAATTTCATGACCTCATTGAAATTTACCTTACAGTGGTATTACAAGTTCTACACATGTTTTTTCCTATTATTTTACATGATAACATTGCCAAATGGGCACAAATATTAATACAGAAAAAAACTGAGAAAAGCAAGGAAATATCTGAAATAATGTGTTTTGGCAGGATGGGTTAGATGAACTTAATTATTTTCTAAATAGACAGCAACTTAAAGGCCAATGGATTATAGCCAAAATATTCATTAATATGAAATGTTTAAAATAAGTACTTCTACAATGGGATACTATGTAGTCATATCATTCATGTGACTAATATGGAAAACAAATTTAAAAGAACTGCAGAAGATTATGTATGTACAATATGATTTCATATTTTTATGAAATTTAAAAAAGGATTCTCTAGAGACAGTCTTTTAAATATAAATTTATTTGTATAGGAATAGAAAATTACTGAAAAGACAAAAATTTTAACAATGGTTAGTTATCTCTAGGGAGCTAGAATAGATGGTACAAGCCTTTTTTTACCTTTATGTATTAATTCATGCTTAATAAAAAAGATCATATATAACTTTTATAATGAGGTAAAACAAGGGGTGCCTGGGTGGCTCAGTTGGTTAAGCATCTGCCTTTGGCTCAGGTCATGATCTCAGGGTCCTGGGATTGAGTCCCGCATCGAGCTCCCTGCTCAGCAGGTAAGTCTGCTTCTCCCTTTCCCTCTGCCTCCTCCCTGCTGCTCGTGCTCTGTCTCTGTCTGTCTCTCTCTCAAATAAATAAATTAAATCTTTAAAAATTTTAAAAAATGAGGTAAAACAAATTTTAAGACTGACTGGTAAGTATTTCCAGGCAAAGCATTAGAGCTGAAGGGTGGTGGGAGTGGTATGATTTTTTTCCTAGGTTTGAGAAAATTTAACTGAAAAAAGGACAAAGCATCACTCTATAAACAGTGGTAGGAAAATACTGCAAAATGAGGAGCTTTGGGGTGATTAGGCACTTTGAAACAAAGATAAAAAAAAAAAAAGACTTGATTGATAGGTTTGTCTTCTGTGACTACTACAGGAAAACAAGATACCTAAGAATAAAACTAAAGCAGTCCTCTGAAAAAAACTGAATAAGGAGGATTTGAAGTGTTTAAGTATCACCCTCTCATTCCAAAAATTTAATGTAGCAAGTAAATACCATTTTTTTCTGATTAGAAGTATTAAAACTTTACTTAGAATTGAAAATTACCTTTCTTATAAGGTGGTTTTCAGTATCTGCTACGTAGATGATATTATTCCTTATGGCTACACCCTGTGGTGAATTAAAAGTTGACTCTGAAAATATTCCATCTTTTCTTCCAGGGTTGGGTCCTAAAAGAAAGATAGCCACAAGACAATTTTTTTCCACTTAAAAAGTTATCTCATAGTAACCCCCCCCAAATATTTTTTTTTCCTTTATTTTCTTTTTTATTGTATCTATACGGGAAGATGGATGTTAGCTGAACCTCTTGTGGTAATCATTTTACAAAGTAAATAAATCAAACCAAAATAAATAAATAAAATTTATATTTAAAGCTGGGATTTTAATATAAATAGCATACTTTCACCTAAAAACAATTTCCCAAGATAAGTTTTTCTCAAGAGTAAGTTTTGCTAATGATAGGGCTTACTGGATAATGGTTACTTTAGGAGCATATATCAGAAGAGAATATATTTTTTAAACTATCTTAATTATCTATTACCTAGACTAGAAAGAGTTAAAAATAATTTTAATCTTTTCACATCTAGATGAATGACTTTTAACAATTTTGGGAGATATACTCCTTTGATAATACAATGAAAATTATGAACCCTTTCCTTAGAAAAATATATATGCCCATAAGATGTCACAAACAATTTCAAGGGGTTCATAGATCCTGAGGGCCATTCAAGCATTTAATAGTCTATGTACCCCAGGTTAAGAAACCTTCATATTTACTATTTCACTTTGCCACAAAGTTCTGTAATATCCTATAAACACTTGGAGAGACAAAGAGTGATTCTGGTCTAATGGCCTACTTCTCAGCTTCTCTAATACATGCAGAGTTTCAGGGGTGGAGAGTATACAACATAAAAACATGTAACTGTTATTTCTATGACCAGACAATAAGCCATTCAAAGCCTCTAAGTCAGCACTCCCAAACTATGCTTTGCAGAACTCTACTGTCCTAGACGTTAGAGAAGTAGTATAATGTAGTGGCTAGGAATATGAACTCAAGAATCCCAGTGACTTAGTTTAAGCTCTACCTCTTCCTAGCTGATGATCTAAACCAGTTCTTTATATCTCAGTTTCTCTTCTGTAAAATGGAACTAATAATATACCTACCTCATAGCATTGTGAGGACTAAATTAATACAGGTAAAGTGCTTAGAATAATGCCAGGCATATATATGTTTGCTATTATTACTATCATTAATAATACTATTATTGTTGTTAATGGGAGCTCCCTGTGGGGAAAAAAGGGAGAGTATCATGGTCCCTTTAGATTGGAATACATTGTATAGTATAACCTCTCTTGAATATTCATGAGGTACATAAGCAGAGTAAGAGATGGAATCAGTGACACCACCGCCAACAAATGTCTCTTAAACAGATCTAACCAATGTTTCCTCATTGTATCTGACCATAGAATTTTTAAAAATTATTGTAGAATAACTTTTAATTTATCACAAGATACCATTATCCCTAAAAACATGTTTGGGAAAGGTAGCTTGCTGCTGGTTTTTCTGTTTAACAAAGGAAAATACTCATTTACAGCATTTTGAAAACTCTACCATTAAAAACCTTTTAACCATTTAAATCAACCTACTACAACAGATAATTTTTAAGCAACAATTCTCATAACTGCTTGTCATCAACCCAAACATCAAGTTGCTGAAACAAAAAAAACCATAAAACATATACTCTAACAAAAATGAAAAAGAAGAAATGTGAAAAATTCAAGAGCTAGGGGAACAATATCTAGGCATCCTAAGAATAGCACCAGGGCTTAGGAATAAGACTAGTTTATTTGCATTAGGAATGCAGATACCCCTACTTTATATACTAATGCTGCATATGTTACTAAAGCAGGATTGCAAAGAGATGAAATACTCTTCTCTTTGACTATTATGTTACTAGATGTCAATTCAGTCTGAGTAATCAGGATTAATAAGAACGTACTTAACAGATTTTATTGACTATGTAGATGTCAGTAAGAGCCTGTTTTAGATCTAAAACCAGGGTGATAAATTTCAATTTTAATACATTTCCTTGAACTATTTTTTTACTATAAAATATATTATGTATCATAATTAGAAGCAAACTTTACCTCCAATGCTGTACTGAATTTGTCCATTCTTCCAGACGACCAAAATTCTATGATGTCCAGTGTCTGCTATTACCAATCTATTAGAAACATGGTCTACTGTTACTTTGCCAGGGAACAGCAATGGTGAAGGTGGCAAAGAATCTTTATATAGTTTTACTTCAATTTTATTATCTCTGATCTGTCCCTTGTCTTTATAATACTTTAAAGCTATGGAAGTATATAAAAATAATTTATCTTTGTGTCCCTCTCCAATCAAAGAAAATAACATATTTCCACGGGGTCCAAGTATGACCAGAGTTGGCCAGCAGGAAATTTCTAGTTCTTGCCAAAGACTGGCATCTGCATCATTAACCACAGGGTGGGTGATGTTGTATCGAAGAACAGCGCTCTTAATGTTATCCAGGACTTTTTCATTTGGAAACTTAGCCGAGTGAACACCAACAATCAGAAGACCATCTAAATGGGAAAAATTATAAGTTAAATGTTATAAAGTATTAAAGTTTGAATGTCACCATTCACACATTAGGTTATGGGTCATTAATAAACAGTCCAGAGTTTTTATTTTTTTAAAGGGCAGAACTAAAATAGTGTTTTCAACTGCATTTAAACACACATATAAAAAAAATTAACATTTGAATCTCATGACAATCTTGATAACTACATAAAAATACATATGATCAAAGTCATGTGGCTATTTCAGGACTGAACCTCTTTGTGTCCTGTATCTAGACAAATTTTTAAAAAATACATTAACTTCTTACGGAGATATTGAAATACTGTTATTATTTCCCCACCTATTATTAGCCCCTTTGAAATTCATAGTGACTATGACTGCTTTTTGCTAGTATTTATTGTCCTATTATCCTCTTAGATTTTTCTGGCCTAC